CTTTTTAACACCCTGTATACAACAGGTGCGATGCAAAGTCGCGATTACATCAAAAGACCCTTGCGTGAAAGTTAGCTATTTTAGTAATTACACAATATAATGTAACGTTAATCTTTGCGTAAATCAATTAAGCCTTCCATAACAAAAGAGAAACATTTATCCCAAATTGTATAATTGGTATCCGATTTAATTATCACAAGTTATAAAGAAAAGAAGCTAATCCAGAGATAAAAAGAATCATCCGTAAAGAGACGGATATTTTGTTTTTTACAATACGCGTGTGTTCGAATCCAAAGGCAATTTATAGTTCCTTAATGGAAATAATTGCATACTCTTGCGTCCTTAATTACGGTGACGAGTCGCATAAGCGGTAGTGGTATAAAACCTTATGTATATCGCGGTGGAAATCATAGCTTAACGATGCCGAGGCGCGATTAAGAATTTCCATAAGTTCTTTTCACGCACGACGCGAATTTCGCGGGAAGGCACTATCGTGGCAAAAGTATATGTGTATATATATATATACACGAGTATGTATATATATATGTGGTCACGAGAGAGAGAGAGGCCGCCTCGTTCGACCGTGTCCGCCGCTGGGGAAAATCGTTAGTGCCCCGGCCGACCGCTAATGGGGCCCAAATTAATTTCACGTAATTGTGGGTACACGGTAGTGTGCGTTCCGTCTCCTCGTCCCCGGCTACCAGTTTTACCCTAATAGGAATAAAATAAGCCCTTATGCGCGAGCGCGCGCGCGCTGCCACATAATTGCACCGGTGGAAATAAGCAAACCCGATTAAGCCCCGTGCACACTGTCACGCTCGCCGGGTTTTGCCTTCGACGACTTTCATAAGGGCTTCGTCAAATTACACGTAGCCGAAATTTCGGCTTGATGGGCCCGGGGAATGTCTATCCGTTCTTCCGTGAAATTTGTCGTCCAAATATAATCAATGTCTTTTCTTTTTTCTTCTTTTGCAGAAAACGATCAGAGTATTGCGGGATCAAATATCTTAGAAAGTTTATTCGGCGCGTTGCATAGCGCGACGCGAGATAAAATCTAAAATGAGATTGTGGTAATGTTCCCTTGTAAGGTTCGACGTATCGATTATCGTCGAGCTAATTAAGTTTCTTTTTTTATTAAAATATAAAATTGACTTAATATTACGTTTACATGATTTGATGCAATTAAATCTTGAATTTTACGATGCATATATTCTGAATTTTATTTCTCGTCCCTACCGATATTATATTATGAGTTTTTCCATTCTACGCACATTTATATAGCGGAAATTGTAAAGCGGGAATAATGATGTAGCAAAATGAAACTCAGCGAGGCTTAGCAGAGCTACACGTAACACTGTAGAAAGTAAAGCTTTAATTGCTTTGAAGTTTCTACTTCGTGGCGCAAAATCATCATCATGTTATTAATGAAATTAGCTGTTATTAAGGAATATTTCGAATAATGACTGTTTTGAGAGTTTTGTTATCATTCCAAACATCGGCGAAGACGATGTGAGAAAATACCAATCCGTTTAATTAGCCATTGTTAATGGATAAGCTCGGAGATGTGCGTAAGAGTACAAATACCGATAAAAACTTTGCAAAAGTCAATTAACGGCATTTAATGTTTTATTAAAAAACAAAAGGAGTTTAAATCTCATTCAATTATTATGCTTGAGAAGGTCGGAAGAAAAGAATATAAGTGAACCAAATTGCTAATAAGTGCAAAATTATCCTCGAATACTTTCACCTCTTCGAATCTACGCTAGTTGATAAAATCGAGTTGCGCGAAATAATTTTTGCTCGAGTTTACTCACGTCAATGCAGTTTTTAAGGTAGCAATCACACTTATCAACGTTCATCAAGCGCGCTACGTCTCGAATCGTTACAATATGCATCATCGCGTGAAAAAATTCTCGAGTGCGCTTTGCCCAAACGCCAATCTGATCGTCTTATATTATGCACAAGATTGCAAATCGATCGTTAAATGAAGAGACTATTCCGTGACTAATGTAATTTCGATTTTGGCAATCGAAATTGGCAGCGCACTTTGCATCTCTCCTTTCAATTATGAATTCACCTTCCATTATTTCTTCGTAAACGAGGCACTCAGACAGTAAACACTATGTAAATACACTACTATATGATTATAACGTGATTTAATTAGAAAAAGATAAGAATCTGATACATCGTTGGAAAATTTGAGTTTTCTTATTAAAAAATATGCCGGTTAAAATTTTTGTGTTAAATATTTAATACATTCATGTAGTAATTTAACATATTGCTGTTGTGTTAATTGAACTCAAATGTCAAAGTATTAAAGCAATTGAAAAAAGTGTAAAATTAACACAATGTGCACATATTTTTAATTTTACGGAATAGATATGTTCCGTATTATTAGCGACAAGATTTATCTGTTAAAATTTAAAACAGAAAAAAAGTTGATTTTATTCTATAATAAAAGTGAGAGTGACTACAGATCATTAATAACATTTTTCCAAGTTAATTTTATCATTAAAAATATGTTGATTTTACACAATATTAATTTCAAATTACTATAAAGTTTGCATTCATTTCATTTGAAATATTAACATAGTATTAGTGTCACCATTTAACATATGCAAACTAGTCTCCTCGCAGTAAAAATCCTAGCAATTTTCAATGCGAGATTCGAAACAGATCCGAGAAGAATGTCGTTTCGTGATGCAATTGTCTCTTCGCAGGAGAAACATGTAATTGTGTTCGCGACGCGAACATCGCATCGTCATCATCGTTTTAATCCGTGCGAACCGCATGTATCACGTGTGTCGTCGTTCAATGACAGCGAGGACCAACGAGGTCCCTCCTCCTTCCCCCTCCACCTTTTGCATGTCTCGCGTGTAATGTACTTTGTATACTTCGCAACACGATCGATACCTATCCAAAGTATCCAAAAGTCTTCTTTCTCTTTCCGAGAAATCCCCCACACCCGTAAGAATCCCCCCCTCCCCTCTTCCCACCACACGTCATTTGCAAATCACCGGTCGGCGGTGTTATGCAATTTTCGCCACCATCGCTCGCATCTCATCGTCTCATCGATATTAATTAACTAACTGA